TCTCTCTGCATCCCTTCATCCTCACTGTCACCCAAATTGAGCAAGCTGGGTCCCCTCTCAGCCTTGTGCCTTGAGTGAAAACAGCTCCCAGATTAGAAATAATCCCCATCTGCCCTCCCTTCCTCTTGGCCCATACAAGGAGGAAGGTGAGTGCATCCCCTGAGTCTCAGGGACAAGGAAGGAGAAGAGGTGCTCTCAAAATTCCTTCTGGGAGAAAGAGTCCTTGCTCACCCGACACCTCCCAAGGGGTAGCTCTCCCTCAGGGAAAAGGCATCAGAAACACCTTGGCTTCTCCATCCCAGCACCAGTGACACGTCCATCGAGGCTTCTGCCTGGGCAGTTGGGGCAGCAGGGGCTCGGAGGTTCATGCATGGTCCTGGCACAGTCACACCCTCCCTCTGCCCTCTTCAAAGGCTAAAGGTGCTCTTACAAACACGGCTCTGACGCTGGGCGAGTGCCTGCTGTCCCCAGGATGGAGCTGCACAGGGTTTATTCAGGCTGGCCCTGCCCCAGCCCTGCCCTGACAGCTGGAACACCCGGCAGCACATGCTTACTTTGGAAGGCAGGCTGGACCCTGATCCTTCAGCTTCAGCTGGAGGATCATGCTCTTGTTTGACTATAACTCCTGGGGCAGAGGAGCCTGTCCCACTGCGTTCTGGGAAGAAGAGAGATGTGTTCCTAGCATGGGAAAGTTTCCCCTCTTTTACAGTAATTGCTTGTAATAACATCTTGCACATCCCCTTTCATCCTACATCTGATGCCTTTCCCAGATGAGACGCCCAGAAGTGCAGCTGCCACCGGAACAGAGCAAGACAATTTGTTTACAAGGCAGGCCCGTGCTCTCGGCGGCCGAGGGCAGGAGGAAGGGGAGGCTGCTGGCTCCAGGTCCACGCAGGCAGCTCAGGGGATGGCCTGCATTGTTCCAGGTCAGGATAACAAGGCCCTTCCGCAGCCCCTTTCCTATGGGAATCCTGACAGGTTGTTGGCCCTCCCTGCACGAGGGGAAGTGCGGCACCAGGGGGGTGAGGCAACTCATGTCCAATGCCAGCGCTGAAGGGGGAGGAGGAGGGAAGCAGGGCCTGAAGGAGCTTTCCAGTTCCAATGGGAAGATGCCAGGCCACAAAGCAAGCCCAGAGCCCACCCTGACACCTTCCCAGTGCAGCTCCATGTGCTTGGTGTTGTCCCTGCTTCCCACCAGCCTCCCACTGTGCTTGGGCTCTCTCATGCCCACAGACCATCCTGCTTTCAGCCTGGCTGCATCCTGTTGTGCCCTCAGACTGTCAAATTCCTGGTACATCTTTTGCCCAAATGGACACGTGACAACCATGCACAGAAATCTCCTTCCCTCCCAGCCCCACAAGGATCTATTGCCACTTACAGTCTCTCCTTCCTCTCTCCTTTCTCAGCCTCAGATCTTGCCTTCGTCCATCCCTTTTGCCACTGTGCAGGGTCCAAGGTCCCTCCAGAGAGCAGGGATTCTGAGGCAGGTCCTGCCCTGCAACACAGGCAAAGGCGACATAGCTAAAAATGATCCTGGCTATGAGACTTGAGATGGGAATTTCCTTTCTCTTACATAAACTGGCTCAGAAACTGCTGATTTGAGGGCTTGGGAGACACTGTAAAGACAAGATTTGTCCTGTGAGGAGGCCTCCTATCAATAGCAGAGGGAGCCTGAACAGGCAGCACAGTTTAGGCCTTGCCCTCCCTCTGCAGTGAATCCCACCAGGAGATAAGCCCTGCTGGACATTCCCAACCCCCTGAGTAATCCAGGGTTTCAACCAGCCAAGGACCAAGGACACCAGCTGTGCTGCAGGTCTGCAGCCTCTGATCACCTGAAGATAAACAGAAAGATTCAGGGTCTGACACGATTTGCAGTGAAAACTGCAATCCCATACTTTTTCCCAGGAAAATCTGGTAGCAGAAATGGATTTTAGAGAGCAGGGTCAATGGGACAAAAGGCTGCTGGTGATTTTTCCATTCTTGTGTTATTTGGCTCTAGATATTAGTAAAAATGATACTCATAAAAGGCCTCTTTTGTGTACCTGCAATGGGAGTGGTTGCTCGGTTGCCAGTTTGAGTATCAGTGAATTTTAAGGGCAGACAAGGCCACTGGTGGTGAGGGGGGGGGAGCAGCGCTGCAGCTGTTGGGGTACAGTGAGTGGGGGCTTTGCCTGACAGGGTTTAGTGCTGAAACATTAAAACCCCAGCACTCCAGCCCTGCTCGCTGGAATGTGGCTCCCTCCTGTCCCACTGTGGTCCCACTCCCTGTCACAGGGCACTCCATGGCATCTGGATCCATGCACTCTCAATGAGGTCAGGCTTTCCAGGCGACAGCTCCGATCATTGTAATTCCAAAGGATTGCAAGGGGTGGGGGAGGAAACATCTCTATTTTCCTTCTATTTTTATGAGCATATGATAGCACTTTGATATGAAATTACTTGTTTTCTGCATCCCTTGGTATTCCGGGCTGGGCTCCAAGCCACCCCGGGGGCAGTGACAGACTGCCAGTGACCTCAAAGGCCTCTGGCTCAGGCCTGGCACCAGCCACTTTCTTCATTGGTTTGTGTCCATTTTGCAAAAACAGAGAAGAAAAACCACCCTCACATGTCCAACCAGATGCAGATGAAAATCCCTCTGCAAGACCACATTTGAAGACTTTGTAGATTTAAACTCTATGGCGACATTCAGGCTCCTGTCCTTCTGCAGCTCCTGAAACTTCCACCCACTTGGGTTGTTTGTAGGAACAGCCACTGTCTCCAGGCAATGGGGATGGATTATAATCTTTGTTCGTGTGTGTGGAGTGACTGACGCAGATGTTTGTACAATGGGTGCTTTATAATGTGACAAAAAACTTTCAAACTAAGTGGGCAGCATCGCTTGCGTGAAGGATGCCTTCCAAAGTACCATCAGTCCTCCCCTTCAGGAGCTTGGGGCACAAAAACACTGTTCCTCACACGTGAGGGCACAGTGGAGTCTGAAAATCCAAACCAAGGTGCATGGGGCTCTGAGCCCTTGAACCCGGAGCTGCTACAGACAGCAGATGCCCCAGACAACATCTTCCCCATTATCGACCCCGTGTTCTTCAGTGTCACCGCTGCAGTGACCATAAGCAGCCCTGGCCTGGCTGTCGTGTCCGGGCCCGATGATGATGAGGGAGGGATGAGCACCACCACAGGCGGCGGCCGCCCCCAGGCTGCCCTCAGCGCGGCCGCCATCGCACCACAAAACACGAGCGGCGCCTCCGGCACTGGGCAGAGCAGGGGTAGCACGGCTGGGGAGGGCTGCGGGAAGGGGTCGGGCACAGCAGGCGGGGCAGCGCCGAGCACCGCTCCCAGCGCCCCGCGGTGCCGCCCCAGCGCGCTTCACCGGCCGGGCCGTTCCCGCCGCGCCGCCATTGGCTGCGATTGGCGCCGGGGCGCCACAATGGGTGGGGCGAGGCCGCCCCACCACACGAGGCCGCGGGCGCGAGGCGAGGGCGCGCAGGGCCCCGGTCCCGGTCCCCGCTCCTCGCGGCCGCCCTGCGAGCTCGGGACTCACCCCCGGGGCTATTCGGCGGCGGCCCGAGCCCCCCTCGGCAGGTACGCGGCGGGCCCCGGGCCGGGCCGGGGGCGCCTCAGGCGGTGGCAGCCTCAGGGTGCCGGCTGTGACGCCCCCTGGCGGACGCGGGGGCCGGGGCGGGGGCCGGCGGACAGCGCTGGGCCATGGCCTCACGGGCCTCTGCAGACACCGGCCCTGCCACATCCCAGCCCTAAACCATTGGGATAGCGCGAAGAGAGCAGGCAGGCGCTGGTCCCCGAGTCCCCAGCACGACGCTGTCTGTCCCTGCAGGACGGCCATGGGCTCTCCCACAGCCAGCCCGCAGCTGCTGTACCGCAGCACCCGCCTGCTGCGCACGGCCTTCCAGCACCTCTACCAGCAGCAGCAGCGAGCCGACGTCTTCTGCGATGTGGTCCTGTGGGCTGAAGGTGAGAGGGCCGCAATGCCTGGGGAGGGGCCAGCACGCCTGAGGAGCTGCAGGCAGGGTCTCTGCAATCCCCTGGGAAAGATTGGGGTGAGCAGGAAGGGCTGCAGGGCAGTAACAGCCACTGTTGCTTTGCAGGCGAGGCAGTGGTGGCCCACTGCAGTGTTCTCTCCGTCTGCAGCCCCTTCTTCATGGAGCAGCTGGGCCGGGAGCTGCCCCCCCAGGGTTGCAGGGTGGCGCTGGAGCTGGCGGGGCTGAAGATTGGGGTGCTGCGCAAGCTGGTGCGCTTCTTCTACACTGCCGAGCTGGAGGTCACGCAGGAGGAGGTGCACGAGGTGCTGGCAGCCGCCCGCCGCCTCCGTGTCACCGAGCTCGAGTCACTGCAGCTCTGGGGAGGACGCCTGGTGAGACTGAGACCCCAGCGGCAGCTCGACCGCTCCTGCCTGCATTCCACTCAGGAAGTCTCCACCGTGGGGGCACCTAGCTCAGCTGAGCCTGGCAGTGCCAGCTCTGGGGTGTCCCCCCAGAGGCAGCCACACTCTCTGGGGCACTCACACCCCAGCCCCATCAGGCGGATGAGGCTGCGGAAGGTGCAGCAATGGGGGCGCTGGGAGGTGGTGCAGGAGGCGCAGCCCCCTGCCGTGCCTCCAGCAGTGCTGGTGGGGGATGTGGGGGTGACAGAAGCACAGCCCCCCCCGGAAGTGGATGCCCGGGAGGTGAGTGAGTGCTCCCCAACCCGGCAGCTCCCCAGTGCAAATGGGATGCAGCAGTGTGGGGACTCCCCTGTGTCCTCGCAGGGCTGCCAGCAGGCAGTGCCCCCGGGGACCCCTGGAAGTGACGCCAAGGAGGAAGAGGTGGATGTGGGAACAGTGGAGCTATTCCTGCCCCCTAGCACAGTGTGCCTCTGGCCCAGTCCCTCATCTGAGTCAGAAGAGGAGGTGGATGTCCTCACCTAGAGGGGGCTGTCTCTGCCTCTCCCCCACCAGTGCCTGTACCCCTTGTGCTGCATGTCCTTGAAATAAAGGGCTGGAGCTGTGCTGTGGAGTACTAAACTTTATTGGAGACTGGGGGGACAACGGGGTGTGGAGGGAGCCAGGGGTCTGGCAGTGGCAGAGCTGCAACATCAGGGACGGGACTGGGGCAGGTGGGTGCCCCCCACTTGGTCTCGCCTCTTCATGGACGCTCATGCCGCCTGTGCCGATCCTGGCTTGGCTGTGGAGAGAGGGAAGTCGGTCCCCGTTGGTCCCATCCCTGCCTTATCCCATCCCAGTCCCATCCCCGCTCACCTGGCCAACACCTCTATGCCAAGCTGCTCTTCAGGGCTTCCACTACTGTCTCCGGCTGGGGAAACTTCAGCTTGCGGGGGGGCCCCTTCCGGATACCGCTCCACAGCTCCACGGCTGCAGAGGTAAGGGAGATTATGGGATCAGGGGTGCCGGGGAGCCCCCCGCCGCCCTGCCCAGCACTTACTGCTGCCGTCCTCCTTCACCAGGGACACCTCGAAGCTGTTCCTGCGCGGCGGCCGGGGGTTGATGTCCACGGGGAGGTGGGCCATGGCCCCGCGCAGGGCCGCGCTCACCGCCGCCGCGTTCCGCCCGAACACGCGTCAGCTCTTGCTGCGGGGACACGGCGGTCAGCGACCCGGGGGCACCCAAGGGCCTCACGCCACCCTCGGCGCCTCGGCCGCTCACCAGTGCTCGATGACGACGCGGGGGCCAATGTCCCCGGGGCTGCCCTCCTCTTGGGCCTGGGCCCGCGCCCGCTTCTGCGGAGCTCCCACCGTCTCCGGTGCCTCGGCCGCCGCCGGCTGCTGGGCTCCGCGCTTCCTCCCGCGGGGAGCCATCCTGGGAGAGCCGAGGCGGTGGAGCCTAGGCCGGAGCAGGAAGGGGGCTGCAGGAATGCCTCTCCGGGGTGAGAAGGGAGCTCAGGTACCCCGCTGTCCGGGGAGTGAAAAGTGGGTCCCTGTGGGGACACTGCTGTGGCAGAGGGCCCGGAAGGGCCAGTCCCCGGCGATGCGCCACCGGGGGAAGTGAGGGTCCCCGCCGGGATCCTGCTGCGGAGGGCGGGAGGCGGCTCCGCGGGGATCCCGCCGCGGTGTGAGGCTGGGGAGAGCAGGGCAGAGAGGCGGGTCCCGGGGAAGGAGCGGACAGACGCGGGGGCAGCGGCGGCCGCGCCGCCTCCTCCCTGCCGCTGGCCACGTGCGGGAGCGCGCGCCGCCGGGGGCGGGGCCGGAACGGGCGGGACCGAGGAGGGCACCGGAGCCTCCGGTGGGCTCCGGTTCCGCCCGCGCCGCCCCGGCCAATCAGAGCGCGCCGGCTCCGCACGGCCCCGCCCCCATGCCGGGGACACGGACACGGACACGGACACGGGACACGGCACGGACCGTTTATTGTCAGCGATGGATGAGAGTGAGCGTTAACCGAGGCGGGGCCCCTCCTACCGCCCTGCCCGCACGCGGCCGGGGGGCACCGCTGCTTTCCCGGGGCTCAGCCGGGACAAGTCCGCACGGAGAGCGGCTCCGGGCGGGGCTGCGCAGGCCCGCGGGGCCGCTGCCACCAGGCTGATGGTGACATAGTGATGGGCGACAGTACAGGGCAGCTTCTACTTGTCCTTCTTGGTCTCCTGAGCTGCAGCGGGCACGGCTGGGGGCTCCTCAGGCCCTTCCTCCCGCGGCTTCGACTGCTTCTTGGCCTTCTGGTAGAGCTCGTTGAGGTTGAACTCCCGGATCACATTCTCCTGTGGCCAGGAGGTAGCATCAGCACCACTGGGACCTCGTGCTCCCCCCTTCTTCCCAGGCACAGGCTGGGCAGGAGAACAGAGGGCTGCAGGGTCCCACCCACCTCAGAGAAGGTCCAGGACACAGCCCGGCCCTTCTTGTCGATCTGCGGTCGCCGCATGATCTCTGTCCCACCCTGGAAGAGGATGAGGGTGGGCAGCTGCTTGGTGAGAGGCGAGGTGCTGACCTTGTACCTGTGTCAGGACAAGCCCACAGTGACCCTCGGGCAGCTTGAGAGGGCAGGAGGGTCACAGGGACTGCCCCAGAGTGAGCCCTGCTTGCCCAGGCTGCGTTCCCCACACCTGGTGCTGACGTCCGTGTACCGGCCAACATCCACCTTCCCAAACTGGAGTCCTGAGCAGTTGTACCTGGACAGGATGGGGACACAGGGCTGTGAGGGACACAGGGGACCACAGGCCCCATTACACCCCAGATTCCAGTGGATGCCACTCACTTGAGAGAGAGGTCGGCGAAGATGGGGGCAAAGGACTGGCACTCACTGGACCAGTTGGCAAAGAACTCAACAATCCATGTCACCCGCTTGTCCCTCTCCAGCTCCTCCTGCCACAGGGGCATGGGCTTAGGGGGGCGAGGGCAGAGACCCCCAAAAGCCCCAGGGCTGGGGAGATACTCACATCGATGGTCTTGTCACTAAAGTACTTGATGTATTCGGGGCCCATGTAAAGGGGTGGCTTGCAGGTCATCAGGAACACTGGAATGACAGCACCCTGAGCCCCCCAGCGCCAGGAGGGCCAGGCTGGGCCTGGGACAGAGCTCCTCCACCCCAGTGCAGCGAGGGGAGCCGGGAAAAGGCGGATGTAGGGCAGGAAGACATGCAGGCTCACCTATGCACAGAGTGAGGTAGAGCAGCCCCATGCGGATGTCGAGGCGGAAGAACAGGATGGCGTTGGCCACTTTGCTGAACATGAAAATATTCCCGATGTGCTGCTCCACGGTGACTGTGATGTGGAGACAGGAATAAGGCATGGGGGAAATTTCAGGGAGGGCTGGATCTGGTCCTCCAGACACCACCCCGTGCAGCTCCTTGGAGGAGACCCCATAAGCAGCCCCAGCCCCACAAGTCCCCCTGACTCACTGGAGCGCCGGTTCTTCATCATGACAATGGCGCTGAGGAACATGAGGATCTCCACCTCCCTCTGGCACAAAGAAGGGACAGCATGAGCTGGAAGTGCCCAGGACACCTTGAAGCCATGCTAGGCCTGGCCTGGCACAGGGACCCGTGGCCATGCCAGGCCCTACTGGTCCCAAGGCCCTGCCACAGCCCAGAGTCTTCTGTCCCCCCCGGATGAGAACAGCGAGCAGACGGGCTGCCCTGGGGCCACGGGCTCGACTAGAGCCTGCGGGTGCCTCTCGGCTGTAGGGGAACACCGCAGAGCATCGCCAGGGGCTACCGGGCATCTCCTCTCTCAGCCAGGCCGCGGTGCTGTGAGGAGGGGAGCCAAGCTAGGGCCGGGGCGCTGTGAGGAGGGGAGCCAAGCTAGGGCCGGGGCTGTGGGGACAGGACCGGGGACAGCCCAGGGATGCGGGGACAGGCCCGGGGACAGGCCGCACCGCCTCACCCAGTCAAAGTCACACGGGTTGCCATCCTCCCGCTGCGAGGGGAGCCCGCGGCAGAGCGGCGGGACCTTGCGCACGATCAGGAAAGCGGCGGCGAGCAGCGCGGAGAGCGGGTAGTAGGGCTGGGCGAGCCATCGGCAGAGCCCGGGCAGCCCCCAAATCAGCGCCAGCAGCGGCGCTACCACCGCCATCTTCCCTCCGCCCCGCTCACTGCCGGGGGCGGGGCCTCCCGCGCCGGCCAATGGCGAGCGGCGAGGCGGGCGCTCCCGCGCGCGCGGACCAATGAGAGGAGAGAGAGGAGCGGCCAATCAGAAGGCTGGGATGAGTCTCCCTTAGCAACGGGGGGCAGGGGCGGTGTGGGGGCGGCGCTCATCCAATGGCGGGGCGGGGCGGCCCGGCGCGGGGCACGCCGGGAACATGGAGAACTTCTCGGCGCTGTTCGGCGCGGCCGAGCCGCCGCCCGCCGCCGCCGCCGCGCTCGGATTCGGGCCCGCCAAGGCGCCGGGCGCCGGAACCGCGCCGCCGCCCGCTGCCTCGGCCGCCGCGCCGCCGCCGGGCGAGGACGCGGCCCGCAAGGCCGCCGGCGGCCCCTTCTACCTGCTGCGAGAGCTGCCAGGTGCGGGCGGGCCGCGGGGCGGGGGGGGTGCCGCGCTCGGCCAATCAGCGCGGCGAACCGCGGCCGCGGGGGAAACTGACGGCGCCAGCAGCCAATGAGGTTGCGGGGGCGGGGCAGCGCAACGCGCGGTCCGGTGGGGAAGTGGGCGGCGGGGGAGCCCCGGGGCCGGGGGTCCCGGTGCTCGGGGGCTGCAGGGGGTCCCGGAGCCTCGGCTCGGCTGGGGAGAGGGACCTGGGCTGCCGTCGGGGCGTTTCCCCCTCCCCAAGCTCTCCTGCGGCCGCACAGGCACTACGGAGCTGACGGGCAGCACCAACCTGATCACACACTATAACCTGGAGCACGCCTACAACAAGTTCTGCGGGAAGAAGGTGAAGGAGAAGCTCAGCAACTTCCTCCCCGACCTGCCCGGCATGATCGACCTGCCCGGCTCCCACGACAGCAGCAGCCTGCGCTCGCTCATCGAGAAGCCGCCCATCTGCGGCAGCTCCTTCACGCCGCTCACGGGTGCCATGCTGACCGGCTTCCGCCTGCACGCCGGCCCGGTGAGCCCCGGGGTATGGAGCCGGAGGGGCGGGAGGGGCCCGGCGTGGTCTGACCAGTCTTTTTTCTCCACAGCTGCCCGAGCAGTGCCGGCTGATGCACATCCAGCCGCCTAAGAAGAAGAACAAGCACAAGCACAAACAGAGCCGCACGCAGGACCCCGTTCCCCCAGGTAAGGGTGCCACAGCCGCCCCCCTGCTCCCCTTCAGCACCGGCAGAGCATTGGCTCATCCGGCGCTTCCGCTTCTCCAGAAACCCCCTCAGACTCCGACCACAAAAAGAAAAAGAAGAAAAAAGAGGAGGATCCAGAGCGGAAGAGGAAGAAGAAAGAGAAGAAGAAAAAGAAGGTGAGTGGCAAGGCCAGGGTGCAGTGCCCAGCCCGTGGACCTCGGAGGGGCGCTGTGAGTGGCCATCCCCAAGGGGCTGCTGCCCAGCAGCTCTCACAGCTTCTGTCTGTCCTTCCTCCGCAGAACCGGCACAGCCCGGAGCACCCGGGGGTGGGCAGCTCCCAGGCCAGCAGCAGCTTACGGTGAAACCACGCCGGTGACGCCCTGGGGATCCCCCGGCCCATGGGAACAGCCCCGGCTGACCCCAGGGACACTGGGGCTGCCCTGCCCCCCCGGCTAAGAGGACACCCCTGCAGCCCCCCCCAGGACCAGGGGCACGGACTCTGTGGGTGCTGACCTTGGGCTTTTGTACCTGAAGAACCTGGAGCATCAAAGCCTTTTTTTAGGCACCTTTGAAACTCTGCTGTGAGGAGGGGCTGGTGGCCATGGCTGCTGTGACCCTCAGCTGTCACAGTGGAGCCCCAAACCAAGGTGTCCCTGGAACATGCAGGTGCCCTCCTTTGGATCCCAAACCTCACCAGCACCCATGACACCTTCCCTGGAGCCTCTTTTCCCATGCCTGGAAAATCCTTACCTTCTGTGGGAGCAGAGTTTGCCTCAAGTTGAGCCTCCCCAGAACTGGGCCAGGCTCAGCTCTTACCAGACCCCCTTCTCTCTCTCCCTCGGGATGGGGGGGAAGGCTGAAACCCTGAGGATCAGGAGCCTTGGAGGGGCTGCTCCATCCCTGGACACCAAACAAAGCACACGCATGGCCCCGGGGTGGCTCATTAAATATCCTTTTATTCCTTGTTTTTAAAATGGCTGATAATAATAAAAAACCCTGGCGTGGCTGTGCGGGGCCACGGGAGCTATTGCCGTAGAGAAAGAGTCCGGTAGTGCCGGCAGGGCTTTGGGGACAGGGAGCACGGGGCTCCTTGGCTGTGTTTTTTTGGCATGTGAAGAGAAAATATTGCTTTCTGGGGATGCACCTGCCTCTTCCCCGAGCGAGCGGAAATAAAAACACCCCTGCGACAGCGAGAAACCTCCTCGGAATCATTAACAGAAACAAAAAAAGGCAACAAAACCAACAACCCCCCCCCCCCCCGACCACAGCCCCTGGGGAAAGAACAAAGAGCAAAAACTGCGGGTGGGGGACGCTGGGGCTTCTGCACCAGCTCGGGATGGGGGTGTGGGGGTGCTGCCCCCACCCTGCCTCCACCCCGGGCCCCCCAGGGGGGCTGGAGGCTGTGGACACCACGGATCAGGGAGGGGAGTGTCCGAGGATGGGTACCTGGCACCCCATGGCCCCCTTCAGGGAGGGAACAGTGACACCCAGCACCTACCACAGCTCCTTCCATGGGTGCAGGAGGCAGCCCCACGTCCCTC